TTTTATTTTATTTTATTTTATTTTATTTTATTTTATTTTATTCTGTTTTGTTTTATTTTATTTTATTTAATTTTATTTTTTATTTAATTTAATTTAATTTAAATTAATTTAATTTAACTTACTTTAATTTATTTTAATTTAAGTTATATTAATTTAATTTAATGTTACCTAATTTAGTTTAATTTAATGTAACTTAATTTAGTTCAATTTAATTTTAAAATATTTTATTTCATTTTATTAATATTTTTGTTTGTTTTTTTTTTATTTTGTTGTCTTTTATATAAAGTTTAGTGTCGATAGATATATTTTATTCTGTTTGATCGCAGTTTGTCTTATTTCATCTCATTTGATTTATTTTTTTTAAATTTATTTCTTTAATTATATTTTATTTCTTTTATTTATTCCTGACTTTATTTTATATTGTTTTAGTTATTCTTCATGTCATTTAATACACTTGAATTGATATGAAAAGTAATATATGAATGTATGTATTATACCCACAATAACGACCGCTTAAAATCGATTTCAAAGTATATTACTTTCGCTGTAGAAATTTTAGGTCTACGTTATGTAGTTTGACTACTGTCAATTAAATCGAATGCTTTGTATTGCATGCGCTCCACGTTTTTCATTTTCAATTTCATAGATTGTTTATAATGACTTTTGCTAAAATTTCAAAATCAAAAGTTATCAAAACAAATTCTATGGGACTGAGAAGTATTATTTTCTNTATACTTGTCTAAAGTTAAAGAAATAAAAAATAAAAAAATTTACATCATCAATTTTTGTCAGTTCACACACGTAACTTTGACATTTTGCTATTTCACTTCCTGCTGTAAATTTTCACACGCAAAGTGTTGTAATGGCATGTTTTGCTGTTGTTTGTCGTGCCAAGTATGCAGACACGTTCTTTCGTATGGATTTTTAGCGCCGCATGTGGTACACAAACACCAGTTTAGTTGAAAATGAAATGATTGGAAAGTGAAAAAAAGAATAATTCTCGCAATAATAGCAAAATCTCAAATAATTTATAGAAACGATGATAATGACTACGAAAAAAAAAATAAGTGCACAAAATAGAAAATAGTGCCTTATTCATAAAAAAGAATAAAATAAACTTAGAAGCTTTTAAATCGAAAATTTATCAAATTTTTAGCTAGATTTTCTTAGAATTTGTTTGATTTTAGATCACGTAAAGTTTCCCCTGGTCCACAAGTATGTATCGAAATAATCGGAATTTTTAAATAGAAAGAATTAGAAATCTTGTCTTTAAATTTTCTGGAATAGTTGCACATTTACTCCTCTTTTTGTAACCTTTGAAAGTTATACAGAATACGGCATTCATTGTTAAGCAAAGTTTTTTTCTTTGTTAATTTTAAATACATATGTTTTGTTTCCACTCACCTGCACGTGAATTCGTTTTCGCCCAAGCATAATTCCAAACAATCACGTCGCGACACCACCGGTATCGTGCGCTTTGCATAGCCATTCAGCTTGTAGCCCTGTACGCGATCAACACACCAGGCACGTAAGCACGGCCGAATGCCCAAACATGATTTTTGTGCATAAATTGTGAAGACGGGGAATTGCGATTTGGTCAAGGCGCCTATTCAGAAGAGAGAAATAAATAGAGGTTTATGTTAACAATGTATTTGAGCAGATTGTTGGTGATGACAAGAGAAACACATTAAGTGCACTCCAAGCTAATGCATATATACGGAGAATTTGGCTCTTCAACTTTCATTATTTTTGTTGAAAAATTTAATAAATGAAGCAACAAATTTAGAAAATATTTATATTTTAACTTAAACTACTTTAGCGGACTTCTGCAAACTTACGCTGATTTTAAATAGTATTTTTCAATTAATTAAGTTACTTAATTCGAGTAAAGATCAAAATTAAATTTTAAAAATTCTATACCTATCGTGAAATCTGCTGTCAGTATCAAAATATTTTTTACTCGTATAATTTGTAGTATCTTACATTTTTTCCCTTCCTTCAGAAGCATTCACTTGTAAATAAGTTTTGATAATATTCTTTTTTGTACTCAATTCGAATAGCAAAAATGCGTACGCTAACGTAACTCAACAATAACTGTAATTTAAGTTGCAGCCTTTCCTACCGAATTACGCACTTGGAAGGCTACATCACAGCTACCGAAGAGCGCTTGAGTGCGTAAACTCCATTGAAGTGCATGGTTCTTAAGTCTATATCTCTAGCTTATTTGCGTAATTTGTATGTCCGCTACACAAAAGCTAAGCGTAGTAGAACGACGGCAACGTGTTTACCACATAGCAACGATATAAACAGATATTAAGGAACTGTGACTGGCGCTGATTTTTTTTACGTTTTAACAGCTTTTGGGCTTCTCAATTAAGGGGTTAAAGTGAAATGATGTTGCGTCTAAAAAAATCTCAAAAAAAAAGTATTTTAGTAAAAGTAAACAAGCGCGAAACTAAGCACCATCTTTTGCCTGATTATTTTGTATTTTTTCGTTAGTTTTGGCAAATAAAAATAATGCCTCGACGAGCATGCTTTACTCTATTATTACGCGATTTATTGCCAAATCATGCAGCATTATAGCCCCACACATACATATGCACTGGTAATCAAACAGTTGATTCTGCCAAATTATTACCAGCTCGTTGGGTGTCTTTAACGATTTTGCTGCTCAATTTTCGTTTCGTTCTGTCATAATTCCTTCTTATAATTGCAACAATGAAACGTCTCAATTATTTCCTACTCGTTCTGTAAATGATACGTGATTTATTTAAAAGCATAAAAACAAAAACAATGGTTTCCGTACTGCTGAGTTTTCTACTTGCTTACTTTTTTTTTAATAGTCACTGTTTCTGATCTGATATACATACAGTGCCGAACATGGCATAGTGAATTTTTAGCCATATATGCAAAGTTCTTTATTCTAATTTATTTTTGATAATTTTTTATAAAAATATTATTCATTCTACACCAGAAAACATAATAATAAAATCTCTAAACTTTGTGCAAAACTTAGGAAAATTCATTAAATTTGCAAACTAATTTGCAACTTTTTATTCAGATTTTTTAGAAAAATTCTAAGTATGCAGTTTTATAATAATAATAATAGATTGGCGCTTACACATATGTTAGTGTTTGGCCGAGCTTCTCCTCTGATTTGTGGCGTGCGCCTTGATGTTGTCACACAAAGCGCAGGGGCCTGCCGAGGGGCGACCGCGTTAACAAAAAACCTTTTATCTAAATTTTTTCCGTTGTTGCTTTGACCAGGGCTTGAACCCATACGCTACGGAGTGGAAGCGCGCACTACTTGCCACTACAAAATAGTACTAAAGTTTGTGACTTTGTTAGAGTACGGCTGTTAAATTGTATGGGCTATAAAACTGCTTACACAAAAATTATGTAAAGATTCAGATGAAAAACCTCGAAATTTTTATGAAAATTTTGATAAAGTTCCTCAAATTTCGTATAATGTTTGAAATTCGGATTTATATGGTTTCGGCTAAAGCTTGGACAGTATTTTTATATAAAAATAATGAAAAAATTAAACCTTAAAAAATTGCTAATATTTAAAAGAAATCAACACCCGTCTTTGAGCCACAGTAGGTACGTATTTACAATAAGGTGGTCCAAAATAAGTAAAGTCGGAATTTTAATGCTCTCACCCCCTAGGATTGCTTTATATCGAAAAAAGTACACCCCTATTTTTTTATTTTGAAATCAAAAAATATTTAGAGGTCGCTCAAAGCGCTTAAAGTTTTCCATGTATTTTATATAGGGAAAAAACAACTTTCCGTGGATTGGAATTCTTCAAAATCAATATTTTTCTATCAGAAAACTTTGGTTACCTTCAGGAGACTTCCAATAACAATATCCAAATGTTTATTTAACCATTTTACAATGCTAAAGATGTTTTTATTATCTCCATTGCTTTTTTCTGGCATTTTTAGGTTTTATGGCGGACATATAAAATATAGTTACTATGAAAAGTTTTTCATCGATTTGAACGAAAAGAAACCTAATTGGTCACTACCACTTACTTAGGTACTAGCCGAAATAAGAACAAACACAAAGTTTTCGCTCCGCCCGCCGCTTTGTTTTCATTTCGTAAAAAAAGTATTAAAACATGACGTAAAGTACTTGCAGAACTCTCTATTTTCAAAGTTCAATAACTTTGTACAGAGCAAACGAATGATGCTACACTTTTTATGGATTGTTACCTATAAAACGTACGTACTAAATAAGTATGGCAGCAGGCAGAGTACTGTGACTTGAAACCAAAATTACAAAAAAAAAAACTACTTCGTTGTCAATTCATTATCGTGCTTTATGCTTTCGTTTCGATTTCTTAATTCTATTTGGCTCCTTGCTATAAGATTACGATAGCTTTTTTTTAACTGTGTGACATAATCAATTTAACTTTTTGATTGAAAGCTTAGGCTACCGAAAATATGTCTAATGACTTTTGGTGTGAACTAAATTTCAAGGTCAATGAAAAATCTTAACGAGACAGTTGGCTTGAAAGTAAAAAACGTAAAAAAGTGAAACGAACGAAACAACATATCAGAATTTCACTTTTTAAATATTCGGCTAACTGGCTCTCAGATACCAAAAATCTAAAGCGTTATCTTAAACAAACAAAAAGAGTTAATGGGTTCTTCAGAAAAGCATTTGTTATGCAAATTTAAGACGTGTTTTGCTTATCGCGTAAAATTTCTAAATTTTAAAATATAGCCTTTTGCGTTGTGTAGGCAGGAAGTCACTCTATTTAAGTGCTTAATTGATTGATTTGTTGCCTGATATTTGAAATATAATTTTTTGATAACTTTCTTATCGACTCTGCCGAAATCGGGTTTACTTACCAGGCAATTTGTCTGCATTGGCCGAGAATAGCACACACAAGCCGGTCTCGTAGTTCACCGCACGACAGGCTTCGTTCGTTTGGCATGCTTCCAGACAGTCGGTTAACATAAGCGTACCAGGCAGTGAATTCAATAACTTTCCGGGTGCAGAGAAAACGTAGCTGAAAGAGGGGAAAAATTACCTGGTAATTTGAGATGATTATATGCTATCCAATATTTAATGTAATGTTAGTAATTATTAAACGGTTGTTTAACGGATTTGTTTACTACTTATGTACATACGTACATACAGCGCATGATATAGATCCTTTACATTTATATATGTATATATGTTTTTTTATTGTGACTGAATAAAAAAAATAACACAAATACCTATACATATTTTTTTTAATTACCGACCCTTTGGTCCATACCGACACCGCTGTCCAAAGGCCAAAAACCCGTTCTTAGTCCAAATACCCAGTTCACGTCCCTGGATATTCGAGTATTCGGTTAATACCAGGAATGTCCGTATTATCCGGATAGAACCTCCAGCTCTCATTATTAGTTGCTTACCTTTTATACTTTTTAAAAAAAGTAATCCCTAAAACAATTCGTGATCAGCCCCTCCAAAGCCTATTTCCTGATGTGAAAAGCGACTTATCCTCTCTGATAACTAGCTAATCTGCCATATTTCTGGCCCATTTGATTGACCCGAATTACTCGCAAAAAAGGGCGGTGATGATGAATGCCATTAACTCTTTGTATGCATACTTGTAAAAAATGTGCATATGGATATATGTACATACATATAAGTGTAGAAGAAGACAATCTTCTTGTTGTTTTTTTGTTAAATGCAACAACTGCTTTAGCCTTACGCTATTCGAATATCTGTTTATTGCTAATATCAATGAGTGTCTACATACATATGCATTTACATAAATATGAGACATGAGATC